ATCAGTTGGACACATCACCTTAACCGGCCTGGGGTGCCTGATTATCTTTGGTCCGAATGCCCATTGGTCCGAAGTTTCTTTGGTCCGAAGGGTCTTTGGTCCCAAGGTCCATTGGTCCGAAGGCCTGTTGTTTCGAATTATATTGGAATGCAGGTTATACGACAGTAAAACAATTCCTTATAATTTATGGAGTAAAAATTAAGAAAGATGACTTTTCATATTTTCCCTAACAACATATAGGGCCAAGAAAAACAACAAAAATACTAGTTTTTTGTCACCTCCCGCATCCATTTTCGCTGCCTCACAATTAAAAAAAATATATATTTCCTTTATTTTGCGAAAGTTACGAAAATCTGGCTAACTCAAATCATTAAAATTTCTCTCTCGATCGTGGATAGAAAGATGTTCTCAGTGAGAATTTCAGTTGAACTATTACTAGTAGTATTATGAATTAAAACTCAATGTACTATGATACGAATCATATCTAGTGCTTATTTGCTTTTAATGTGCAGTGGCGGCACTACAGGGGGAAAAGTTCCTCCTAGATAATTTGTGGCCCCCAGTTTCGCACCCCCCCAGAGGAGTAGAGAAATATACAATTCGTCGAGGAGAAATATGTATTTCTTACACATTAGGAGACTATCTATTTAGAATCGATTGAATATCCCTCTGAAACCCCCAAATTGTCACATTTTGCGGGGGATCCGCCCAATGGACAACTTTCGAAACATTTTAATTGAAACCCGACCACGCTCACTTTGCTCTAGTCAAGGAACCCCCCCCCCCCCTGTCTCTTATACACATCTTCAAAAAAAAATTATACCTTGCCCTTCTCCCCCCCGCCCACCTTTCTTCCCAGATGCTTTCGCCGCCACTGAAAATGTGTCTATTTTGAAAAAGTGAAAAAGTAGTTAACTCTTTCCCATCGGCCATAAGTAAATATATCTGTAAAGATTTTGCAAACACTGTATGGAAGTTACTTGAATTCCCCTATTGTTATTAAAACTTTTCTGTCTCCTGCTTAAACATTAGGAAGTTATACTTACGCTCCATTCGCTTGGAATCTTTTAATTTTCTAATAATTTGTTAGAAACATACACAATCTTAGCTGACAATAATTCTATATTGTTAGCCAATATAGACCTACATGGTGGTCCCAAACATGTTTTTTTTTCAAATATATTTTTCTCTATATTTGAATTAATTACTTCGGGCCAACGGACCTTTGCACCAAAGACCCTTCGGACCAACAGACCTTCGGACCAAAGGACCTTCGGACAAATGCACTGACCCCGTCTGATGAACCTGTTCGCCAACATCTACCAGTCTGTGCACAAGGCCAACTTAGAAATAAAGGATACCTTTAATAATCATTTGTTTTTCCGTCCTGAAGATTGATTTATAAAGTCCTACATAATCTTCTGTACACTAGAAAATTAGATAGTTACAGGAACACTTAAATAAAGACCTGAGAATCAAACACTGTTGGACAAAGCAGAATTAGGTTATTCTAAAAGGCTTTTAACCGACACTGGCATATTCCCATGATAGCATTTTTATCTTCTAAAGTCTAATCTTTCAATTTAATTTTCATTTGCTCCAAAAGCCATTAGTCGACTGTTATCTGCCATACCAGAAACATTACATTTATATTCATCAATATATATATTTGCAATGGCCAAAAGAATAAACAAATTATACAATAGATCAATGTAGCGGAGTAGTACAAATGGAGGAATTGTTGGCAGAAGACGGATAGACATTTAGAGAATATAGGAGAAATGAAGATTTGAAACGTTCAGTTCTACAAAGAGGCGGTAAGAAGGCGGATTGTTGTATTTCTAAGCGAGATAGATATTTAAGAATGTGATCATAAGACTGAACAATTGGACAAGTGCATAGAGTGAAATTTTTATATCTTGTGTTGTATCATGTATTACCATATTGAGCAAATAGGTGTGGATATGGTGAATATGAAGAGTAATCTGATAGAAGTTTACTGAAAAGATATTCAACACTTTTTAAACACGCACCTTCACATTAAAAAAAAACAAGAAAAAACACAAGATTTTTAGTAACAACAATCTAATCTAATCATATTTATTTATATAGCGCCTTTCTTTGCAGATACGAAGCGCTTCTGTCCCTGGTCATTGGATCCACATGCTTAAGTGTTGCTGCTGTATTCAGCGCAGGAGCAAGCAACCCCACCAGGTACCCATTTATACTCCTGGGTGGAGGGAAGCAATGCAGATAAAGTGTCTTGTTCAAGGACATAAGCGAAATGCACAGCGAGGGATTGAAACCAAACCTTTCACGCTGCGCCAAACCGCTTCCACAAAAGAATATGTTCAAAAGAAATTCCAAATAGTCAGTGTCAGAGGTTGACAAAGACATGAGAATAGCTAGGGACGACGTGTAAGGTATCTAAACCATCAGAATATCTGAGAAAAAGATGTAAAGCAATTAGAGAAGTGTCAAGACGCAGTAGTACACTGTAGGCTACTAAACTGTTGACGATTCCGATGAAGATATTCTTTAAGCTGCCGAAGAGGAATCGCAACCACCAAATGCTTGTCCACGAAACTGTTGATCTTTACATTCCAATTGTATATGGCACAATTAACTTTTCATGGTGAATTCAACAAAGACATTGAGTATTCCTAAGTTAAAAATCATAACTCGTCGTTGAAAGCGAATTTATCATGGATTGCTTTTGTCAGAGTGGTGTTTAAATTTGTTTTGTTTTCACTGTTACAGATAGTTAAATTAATTAAGTTATTTGCTTTACATGCAATGCAGTATAATATTGAGTTTACCATACTTGAAATAAACCTGGCAACACATGTTGTTATAATAGTCTTGTATATAGTAATATTATGGTTACATGAATTATATTTTATATTATAGCATTTTCCGTACAGTAAAAAAAATGTATTTTAAAATATTTTTTAATGAAAAAATGCTGCTTTTTTTGGCAATACAGTAATGCATATTGACAAAGTCTTACAACACATTCCTTAGCATGTTGTTAAGCTAGTCAGGGAACTATATTTGTTATGGCTAATGAATTATATTATATTTTAAATCGTTACCGGTAACTGTTTAGTAAAAAGATGTATATTTACCTTAATTTTCAATAAAAACAATGCTGTTTTCTGGCAATACAGTACAAAATTAAGTTTTAAATTACTTAAAATGAGCCTGGCAACACATTTTTTAACATGTTGTTAGACTATTTAATTATAGTAACATTAATTTAAAATAAATTTACGTTGATTTATAGTGTTAGTAAAAAATGATATATTTTTATTCAAAAAATGCCGTTTTTCTGGCAATACCGCATTCACGTGTGTAAAGTACCCACAACCTTTTTCCTTGAGTATTGTTTAAACAACTATTGACAATTAAAATATGGAAGATGGAAGATATGTATGCACCGCTTTGTAAGTTATAGATAGGTTTCTGAGCTAGGCATACTTTAAAAAAATATATATTTTGAGAAAAAACCCCTTTTGTAAATAATAGTATCTTCCAAACAGAATTTTTTACACATTTTTTTTTCGATAAATTTAAGTTAATACCTGGTTATTTAAATGGATGATCTTAAATATATATATATATAGTGCATGTTCTTTTTTTAATAAGGTCTGAAAATTTTTTCACTTCTAAAAATGTCCAAAATTAACAAAAACGGTAAAATTTAGATAATGAGTCGTTGCCATGACAACGAAGGCTACAAAAATACAGTAAACAATTGTCATAGATATGCCTTTTACCCAAGTATCTATTCATGGTAAAAATTTGAGAGAAATCCATTTTCAGACATCTGCCACCAAATCTTTGATTTTTATGGACAACCATTCTTAAGGTCCTGCGTATTTCTTGTGTTCAAAATATCTGAAAGACAGCTGCCCAGATCTAAATAGTGAATGAGGTGATTACATTTTGGTGACGACCATGATGACGATGATGATGATGTGATATTGTGATTTTTATTTTTTGACATATCTCAAAACTTGTTGTAGAAACATAAACCCAGGTTACCGTGTAGCACAGATACGAAGTCACCCTTAGGTGGAGAAAATCATTGATCGAGTTCAATCGCCCTGAGCATCTTATATTAGATGGATATGTGCGCTATATAAAACTACACTACTACTATTATTATTATTATTATTATTATTGTTGTTGTTGTTGTTGTTGTTATTATTATTGTTATTGTTATTGTTGTTGTTATTGTTATTATTATTATTATTATTATTATTATTATTATTATTATTATTATTATTTATAATTATTATTATTATTATTATTATTATTATTATTATTACTCTTATTATCATTATTACTTTTATTATTTTTATTATCATTATTACTTTTATTATTTTTATTTTAACTACTATGAAAAACGTTGACGTGTGTATAGTAACAATAGTAGGTTGCTAACTGTGCAAAGAAAAAAAGGTGCCCCGTGTATTTTATTTTGAAAGTTCTGACGACAAGGACGCGATGCCCAGCCCACAAAATCACGAAAACCTTAGACAACGGCGGCTAGACTTATCGAGTTTGCAAAGATATTCTTTGCTATCAAAAACCTTCTTTAAGAAAGAGAATTTAAGGTAGGCAGTACGCAAATGAATATATTCATAGTGTTAATCTATTTTATGGAACATGGC